ACAGTTTTAGCTTCGCCTCTCGTTCACTGGCGTTCATCGTAATTCAAGAAACATTTTGAGTGGTGTGTCCCGAAACAATCTCTAATTACTACAGAGGTAAGATACTGTGGGTGCTAAAGGCTCATTTATAATACAATATACTATTATTTATAACACAAGCCAACATTTCTAAAATATTTTCACACGGACAGCAAGATACTTTCTAAAAACTATTTTGCAGATGTAAAACTTAATATAAACTACACAGATAGTCACACATTTGTTGATATGCTGTAATAAATTTGAACATACATTTTGCTTCTTGTTTACCACGTGTACATAGACATTACATAAAACATCATGAATATTTACCTTAAAGTTTTGGAAAAGTCCTGAAATTTTAATAGTAAAAATGTGTATAAACCCTGTGTATATCCATGCCTAATATGTCAGATTGCCAAAAAATCTTTTTATAAATTGTTAAAATATTGGTGTCTGTGATGCAGTAAGTCCAGAGACTGTCATGTACACCATGATTTTAGATTAAATTCACTTTAATGTGTAATGATAATGGGGTAATAAACAAATATTTTCTGTGCAAATGAGTTGTAGCTTGGACCTGGAAACTATTTTCTATACAATACGTCACAACTTAACAAGCAAATAATGACAGTAACGTTATTTATGATATTCACAAAAATACAGTTATTCTGACTGTCAATAAGTGTTAAAAAATATCATGGCTTCCATAAAAAATATTAATATCTGCTTCATTTAAAAGTTTAGTTAGACCAAAGACTCTAGAATACACATAAAGGGACTTTGGTTAAACCTAAAATTATACAAGTTCGTGTTATATGGCAGTGTAGTAACCTTTTTAACTTTTGAACTCGGTTCTTGAATGAGGCCAGGTTTTTTTATTCATATTATTCTTCCAAAAATTGGCATTAGTATGATTTCTCAAAGAAATTAATACTTTTATTCTGCAAAGACACATTAAACCGATGAAAATGACAGTTACAATTTTTCAAAAGATTTCTGTTTGATATATTCATCAAAGAATCTTGAATAAATGTGTTATGGTTTCAACAGAAACAATAGGCGGCATGCTTTGTTTTGATAAGATGTATTTTGGCCTTTATTGTAATAGAACAGCACATCACAGACTAACAGGAAGTGAATTGGGAGTGAAGGAAAGGAAAAGGTCGCTAAGCTGGCACCCGAACTTGGGTCAGCTATTGACTACACAGAAGATTAATTTTATTAAGATCATGAAAATAATAAATGATTCTTAAGCTCCAAATCGACATGTTAAAGTTATTTCTGTAGAATGACATGACACTGAATACTGAAGTAAAGGCTGATGAATATTAAACTTCACAATAACAATAATAATAATTAAAAAACGTAAAATAGTTTCTGTAATAGCATTTCTAATCACTGTTTTTACACAAAGTTGGTTAAATGAATCGGCCTTGGTTTAGCAAAAGTAACTTTTTTTTTAAACTTGGGTCTTACTGGCCCCAAATTTTGAATTAGCAGTTGGAAATCTATTGGTCGATGTTGTTTTTTAAACTGACACCAGGCAGAATGCCAGCTTCTGCTATACTCAGCCAAGCGGCAAACTTATCGCCAATGTCAATACAGCAGTAACTGCCCACCTTTTCAGCTGCCTGTATCAGGAAGTATTTTTTCTCATTCATTTTCTCTGCAAGGATTTAAACCTGCCACATCAGAGATGAATCGACATTACAAACATTGACTGAATACAAAAAATGTTTGATAGTAAAAGATAGCAAGGAACTGCAATACCATGAAGCCTTGAGAATGCTACAACTTAACAATGGTTTAGTACTTGATTTATTTTTGTAAAGCAGAAGTAAGCGATTTTCTCTAAATGTAGCAGACTTCCACATAACTTATTCAATAAGGACATACCTAGGAATAACAAAACGATGTAAACTGTAAACAGCTATGTTTTTCAGTGGGTCAATGTAAATACAGTCGATGGACTTGAAAATTCAGACGATTAACTATTTTATTGAGCAAAAACTCCAAAAACTGTTGAGGAGATCACATAGCTTGTTTTACTCTGCTCTTTTCACAGACACAGACACAAACATACATTGCCCTCGTCTTTGCGCGCGCGCGCACACACACACAAAAACACACACTCACACCTCCGGACGACAACGCGCGCACACACACGCACAAACACACACGCATACCTCCGGACGACAACGCACGCGCACACACACACTACCCTCGTCCACGGAGCTGCGTAAACAAAGCAGCACGCGTTGCGTTTTTAACGTGACTTTATACGCCAGTTAACCTGATACAGTACACGCGGTTACAAGTAACAAATCACAACTAAATACATTTGCAAGCTAGAGTCAACGAGGCTACAACTTTAATCGCACGTACTTACACTTGAGAAATGGAGGAAGCAACCCATCCTGACGTCCAGCAGTAAGTTACTCTTTACTGATCCTTCCTTTAACAAACGCAGATGAAGTATACTTTGTAGCATGTAGTTTGCAGAAGTTTCCAGTAGTTTCCAACTGCTTGGTTATAATGCTGAGGTTTCATCTTTGGGTAGAGACTCGATATAATATCCATCTGCAGTGTGACTTCAATCGACCGGCATGTTTGTGTGTGTGTGTGTGTGTGTTTGTCTGGGTTTCTGCGTCAGAGGGCGGGGCCTCAGGTTTGAAATCTCCCGGGTTTGCGCGTGCACGTGAATAACTTGGTTTCGTTCGTACGTCATGGCGAAACACCTAATGAATCGGTATCAAGGCGACTCGTTTGAAGCACTATGAGTCGACTCTTTTATAGATGAATCAACCGTTTTAAACACTGTATTCTTACAGATTTAAGCCTAAGCTGGATACTTCACTTCACTTAGAGCTGTGTTACACACTACATGGAGGGGAATTTTCAAAAACCCATAATATGGGCTCTTTAAATAAACAGTGCTTTTACTGTGGAGTTTAACAGTATTAAATTCAAAAAATAACAATCAAATGAAAAATAACATGCATTGCATAAATAATTTTATACAATAATGTTAAATTAAAATCGTGAAAAGTCACGTCAACAGGTCAAAAGTCCACAGAGTGTGTGTGTGTGTGTGTGTGTGTGTGTGTGTGTGTGTGTGTGTGTGTGTGTGTGTGTGTGTGTGTGTGTGTGAGTGAGTGAAAGAGAGAGAAATGGATTTTACTTTCATTTTCTCAATCACAGTGAAATAGGGCCTTCTGCTGTTTAGTGTCAGTGAAAGACTGTCCAGCAAACTCACAAGCAGTGAATTGTGCAGGGTTTCTGCGTTTGTAAGTAGTTGGAGTGTTTTAATTACTCATGCTCGCCTCCCTTGCCACAGTATCACAATAATTAACCCTGAAAAAGCCAAAGCAAAGCAAATACTACCAGATTATTATGGTATAATTACAGCACTACAACATACAAAAGAGAGAGATTGACTTAAAGTGTCACTCACCTCTTTTATAATGATTTGATCAGCTGTAGTTTGAAATTATGCTAAGTTTTTCTTTTCTAACAACTTATTATGCAGTCTCTGTTGCCTTCTTGTGGTGGAATGTCCACTGTCTTTGCTTTGCTTAGGATGACAGTCTGATGGATGCTGACGTGCTGTACTGTATCCCCGAAATTATAAATATTTAAAATAGGCACTGTACTTATAAATTAACTGCATAGTTGCAATCTAATTCTAACATTCTAGCCTGAAAAAGCCTCAGAAGTACATTATGTTTTCCAACAGCTGCAATATTTGTCAAAGTGAGTTTGTAGTGATCAGTCATCAAAGGTGGAGGAGGTATCATGACATTACCTTTACCGGATCATGACATTTTTGCTGCTTAAAAACACATTTAACATTTTTCTTGCAATCTTATTATCTTATTTAAAGAGGATAGCATTAATGTTATTAAACGTAATTAAATACATGACCAGGGCTTGAACATCACTTTGGGTCTGGCAGTAGCCGTTACTGTAATTCTTTGAGGAAAAACCCAGTGTATATATTGGAAATGTTGGTGGTCTTAGATCAGTAAATAACATGCGGAGCAGAGCTTATAATAGCACAGCTTGAGGCGAAGACAGAAAAATGAAACAGGTGTTCATTCATTTATTACACATCATCTGTTCTGCATCAGCTGCAGTTACATTAGGATTAGAAGTCCATTGTTTTTCATTAAAGCTGATTTACACAAGCATGTGTGGATTTCCTCATGATGCCATTAGTTGTTGTATAAATTAGTCAGTATTAAGTGTGTGCTTTATTATGTATTATAGCCAGGTAATTGTATAACCATTTGTTTTGATCAAATGTGACTGACCAGTAATTGACATGTTTCACGCGCTGTTCGTTAGTGCAGTGCAAGGGAAAAATGGATATATTTTGAAATTTTTCACCCAATAATCAATCAATTAATTCCTGTGAACAATTTTATGTTAAAAAGGTCTTGATTTCAGGAACATATCAGCATTAGTTCTCTCGATGTGTCCTTATAAAAGCCACAACAGCTCTCTTTCTGTAGTAGCTGCTCCAAAACATGAAAAAACTGTTTTAATATTGAGCAATAAAGGCAGGAATCAGTCAACCAGATGCTAACACACTGTGATGTCTTTTTCTGTGCTTATGAGTCACTTTATTTTAAAGATCTTTTCATAATAACTATATTATGGCGTTCAATATTTGTGGTTTGTGCCTCGAGCCAAGTAGTAGCAGGTCTCCTTTTTTTCATTACAAAAGATTCATACAGACTCTACATGGAGTCTTGTCAGATCAGCGTGTTAACCGCGCTGACATCTGCCGTGCTTGTTTTAGTGGAATGGACTTGCTCGTTTAGCGTTTGTTGCGGTGTAAAGTGGCTGAAACGTGACACTATAATCTGGTGATTGCTCTGCATTGGTTGGCATCCGTCTGTACAGTGTGAATTAGTTGTAAACATACTTGAGCGCAAGTTCAAGATGTGTAACACTTGATTTATTTCTGTCTGCAGGCATCAGGCCTCCCATAATGAATGGCCCCATGCACCCTCGTCCTCTGGTGGCCCTGCTAGATGGACGGGACTGTACGGTGGAGATGCCCATCTTGAAGGACGTGGCCACTGTGGCGTTCTGCGATGCCCAGTCCACTCAGGAGATCCATGAGAAGGTAAATGTTCAAATGCAGTTTCGTTTACGATTAGTTTTGTTCAAATTTTTTAACAAATGTACTCCACACTAATATGTTTTCTATTAAACATATTCTTATCCGTTTTTGGCTTTCCGTTCATACCGAGACAGAATTTGTGGTCTTTTTGAATCAATCTTTTTGAAAACACTATATAAAAGGGATACATTTTAAATAGGAAAAAGATTACGCATTTTTAGTCATGTGACCAATTTAGATAAAATGGTGGATGACACTGTAGAGCAGTTGTTTTGGATGCTTTCCATTTTGACTGCATTGTTTAAAGTTAATGTTTGTTTGCACATGCTTCTTTCTTTGATGGACACTGGATGTTTATTCAAAACTGCTGTATTGGAATTACTGTTGTGTTGTTGCATTTGCAACTTTGTACTCCCATTTTACTCACAGCAACAACTGTATCACTGTTGGCCTATTAAAAAAGGGGGAGCTTTTTGGAGCTTTGACATTTGGCCTCAACGTATCAAAGAGCTGAAAGTTAAATAATCACTATACAGACATGAAGCAAGGTCAAAGAAAGCGTTTTACATCTTGAAGCATGCACAATAAAAGCGTTTTCTGTGGTTTCAGTGTGGATGACCAACTTTGGGAAGCTTTTGAAAATGATAGCGTGGATGTGCTTGGGCAGTTTTTGAAATGTATCCGGATTAATGTCGACATTAATCATAGGTTATCTCCATTCTAAATAAGGAAATTTGCATAATACAGATATCTAAGCATTTATATTTGAAAGCCAATAAGTGATAAATAGGCAGATTAAAACAGGTCTTGATAGTCAGAAATAAATACTATTTATTTTAACTTAAAACATTTACTAAAAACAAAGAAACTACTTATATACATCTAGATCTTTTGCCAAAAGGATCTAAAAATCGGAATTTGTTTTTCTTTCTTTTTTCTCTCAGTGAATAACTCCCACTTCGCTGAAATCTATTTGTTCCTTTAGTATAAAAAGTTTCTTAAGTGTGTATCTGCTGTGCTGCATGTAGCATGCTGTGTAATGTAGAAGGCACTAATCAAATCCCCATGCCCAGCAGCACACAATAAAAAGTTGGAAGAAGTAATCGTTTTTTTGCTGATAGTTCATTTTCCTACCAACCTGATAACAATAACGCTAGACATCAACGTTTATCGGCCGATACCGATATGGTCACCGATATGTAGTGCACAAAAATCAAGCACAAAAACAGCCAGACACAGGAAAAGTTTCTTTCCTCAGGCCATCTACCTTATGAACAGTTAAATATCCCCCAACTGTGCAAAAAATATGTGCAATACTTTCTCATACGCACTTGTACACAGCACCTTTTATCAATATACAATGCAATACTTTCTCCATTCGCATTTGTACACAGCACCTTATAACCTGTACATTTATAACAAATCTGTACATACAAGTCAACATCCAGATTTCTTGACCAACTGCATCTCTGTTTAATGTTTATCGTCTTTTTTCATATTTATTTTGTGTTGTCACTTGTCACTTTATGTACAATGGAAGCTTCTGTAGCTAAAGCAAATTCTTTGTGTGTGTGAAGCACACTTGGTAATAAAACTGATTCTGATTCTATTGCAAATGTAATTTTAACCTGTCTAAAGGAACGTTTCACGCATAAGCATTACTTCCTGAGGGTATGAAATCCTTCACTAAGAACATGGTTAGCAGTGTTAGGGGCTGATCACACCGAACATGGTTTTTGTGTTGAGAAGTGCCTTTTTTTTAATTGATTTACTAACGGCCGCGAGGGTTTAACCGCCTGCTGCACCTCAATTACGTCAGTTGCATCTTTTTATTTTTCCAATCAAATGAAAGCAGAGGCGGGGTTTCTGTTGAGGTGCCTGCACTATTTGTGTTGTCAAGACAACTACGGAGACTTTTAAAGATGGAGGAGAGACTTGTGGTTGCTGTTTTAAGTTATCTGGTGCTGTATGACTCACAAATCTTGAATATCACAATACTATTAAATATTAAAATTATACTAATATCAACAGCAACACTAGCGCACAATACGCAGCTGATTTAGTCTTTGCCTAGCGACATAAAAAACGCACCGTGCTTCTTTTTTTCTTGTCAACAATAAAGGCAGTGTAGTGCTCCTTGCGTTTTTGGAGTGGAAAAGCATGTTCAATGTGATCGGCCTCTTAGGCTGCGTGTCCACCGAAGTGTTTTTGCAGAAATGCAAGCACTTTTCTAAAAACCATCGTTTATTTCCATTGCTTGCTATGATTATGAGTATCCCCACTTTACCATTAAGTTAAGAGTCTTTAGCAGATTATTTGCTGACAGTCGTGTGATTGTGTCCTGGCCCTACTCCACTGTGATCGGACAGCTAGCTTAAAAGTGACACTGATGGGTGCTGTGTTTTTAACTTGCACTGCTTTTGCTAGGCGATAAAAAAAAATTGCTGCAATCATGAACGGCAACAAAAAACAAGCACTCAGCTTGAGAAAAAAACGCTTCGGTGGACACGCAGCCTTAACTCTACATTGTGGTGTGAAGTGGGCAGTGTAAAACAATGTGCTGCTAGTCGTGTGCTTTTATGTTCATGAGCTTTGGACAGTCATGGAAACGCAGCACATTTTGCTTATGTGTTGTGTTTCCATTGTCAGTGGTTGCTTTAGCATTTGAAGAGAAAAATGCCAAGGGCTGATGGAAAATGCATCAGTTGGAGTGTAGGAGGTTTAGTAGGTAGTAGGTTTAATTATTACCTTTGCAGTCTAAAAAGTTAATTCAGGAAAATCTTGATAGCAGTTGGGAATTTAAAACATTAGGATACAAGGTTTGATCTTATAGTGCTTTTTAAATATTTGTAGACTTTGGTGAATTAGTGGCTGATATGTATTAATTCATAAGATCTCATTTATTCATTTTCCTTCAGCTTAGTCTCTTTATTCTTCAGGGGTCACCACAGCGGGATGAAGCGGCTACTTTTTCAGCATAAGTTTTACACAGCGGATGCCCCTCTGCTTGCAATCCAACACTGGAAAATAATCCTAAGATCTCATTCTTTCTCAAATGTAAAGAGTTTATATGCTCCCTTCAGATTTGCAAATTAAGATGTTAACCCAGGGTTTTGGAAAATATCATGTAAAGCACAGGTGCATGAAAACCCAGAATTAACGGTTCACTCTGGGTCAATTGTGAGCAGTGTAAAATATGAAGCAAGTTTCTTTTCATCTGGGGTTTAGAATAACCCACTGTTTTCCCCCAAATATATTTAATGATTTGTTTTCATTTTCCTCCATCAACTAGGCAGATAATAACAATGCAGCCTACAAAACAACATATGTACGTACATATATACATTTGCATACATGCAAATGACATAATAAAAAAATAATAAATTGAAAAAAATTATACTGAATTGAAACATTGAAAAATAATGATAAAATAATAAATCAATAAAAAATAAAAATACATGTTTACAAATATTCAATTTACATAATAGACACTTTTCACATTTCCAGGTTTTTCAGTAGCAGAAGTCATCATAGTTGGGTAAACTCAGAGTGCAGTAAATAGGAGATTATAGCTAACAATTTTTTTTTATAATCATATTTGCTAAAATAATAAAAGAAAAACGCCACAATGGTGTTATTGAGACTTTCAGAAAAAGGAAAAAAAAATAGTGTGAGACTGAAGATGGCAATTAGCGGTAATTTGTTTTTTATAATTTGATGCAAAGATGACATAAAACATTAATAAATTTTCATACGTTTTTAAAAAAAAATCAAAATGTTAAAAACTTTCAAGAATAATAGATTATGATGACCATTACACGCGTCATAACAGTCTTGTGAAAGAGGTTCATATTCAAATATGGTTTAAATAATCAAGTGTTAACTATTTAAAAGTGTGAAATGCTTTGATGTTGTATTATTTTTGTTTTACATTGCATTGGATAAGATGGTCTGCTGAATAAATGTTTTTTTTTTCATCTATGCTGGCACAACTAAGCAAGGTTATACTAGTTTTGGATTTTTCAATAGTTTTGACTTTTTGTTTTCAAACTCACTTAGTTTTAATTAGTTTTTAGAGGCCAATTTACTAGTTTTATTAGTTTTTATTTTTAAAAAATTGCTTAGTTTTAGTTTAGTTTTTATTATTTTCATTGTCAGTTTGTTTTTTGTTAATTAGTATATTTGTTGGGTACAAGATTCAAAATCATCAGATTAAATATTGTATGATAAAATCCCGTTAAAAAGAACAGTTCAGTCACGATCAGGATCAGTTATACTGAAATAAAACCCATTATTAAGCACAAATGGGTGAAATAATACTTTTAAGTGTCTGCTCAAGTCGTATTTAATGTTGTCACCATGCTGCTGTCCTGTCCAGTCATTGTTTTTGTTGTGAGAGCAACAGAGAAGATGACTGGAAGAAGACTGTCTGGATCTGGCCAATGGCAGTTGCCGTAATCGAAGTAAACAGATTTGACAATTCAGACAAATGAAGGACGTTTTTGCTATAATTTTAGTAAGTTTTAGTTTTGCATGTACACAATACAGTTTCAGTTAGTTCTAGTTTTTAAAAAAACTCGTTTTTATTTTGGTTTCAGGTAGCGAAAATGTTTTTTTCAAGTGTATTTATTTTGTTTGTTTTCGTTAACTATAATAACCTTGCAACTAAAGGCTCCTACACACCGGAACGCTTTTCATTTGCGTTTATCGACAGCGTTTTACGAGATGTTTTTCCGTATTCAAAACCAATCGATTTTCACTAGCGTCACTCAGAAGAGTATGAAAAATCACTCCTTGACGTTAAATGGCGCTACACAACTTTAAGCTTCTGACACAGAAGAAGAGGGGGAGAGAAAGTTCACACACTTGTTGTTTAAGTTCAGGTGACTCGATCAAGCATGGATGGTTCAAGCAGCAGCTCCAGCTTTAGCGATGAAGAAATGATCATTGTTCACCAGTGCAATCAGCTAAACATTCATATCGCCTATGGGCATCTTCTTCAA